TTTATATATATATATATAATATACCTCACCTTTTCCCCCAGTTCCCCTCCATTCTATTCAAAGGCACATCAGACTGTTCCTGGTATTTTAAAAGAAATCGCTCATAAGTGAAGCGTCCACTGATGTAGATGAATATTTAAAGCTCGGCTGAGCGGCACATGGGCTGTTTCCTATAACTGTGAGCACACAGTTTGGTTACAGCCAGGCATAGCATTAGGCTGATAACATCATCAGCTACACAAAATGGTAATGCAGTCCAAATATTTGTGCTGCCAGTGTATATTCTGATCACATGTGCTCACTGTAATTAATTTTTTCTTGGTAAAGTGTGTTTTGTTTTGTTTTTTTTTTTTCTTTTTTTTCACCTTTATCAGAGCAAATTCTTGTGTTTCATCTGTCAAGCAGAGCTGCTGTTCTGTTTGAAGTTGTGAGTGAAGTTTTTGAATGCTTGTGATGAATGAGCTGGGAAAAAAATACTTTGGCTCTTTGATGCCATGGGTAGTTTGCAGGCTAACATATTTGTTCAGTTTGGAAATGTGATGAGCGGTATCAGAGACCATACTTGCATCCTTTTCATGCTAATTCAAGCGACGCAATTTTCAAATCATATTGTAAGAGTTTAACATCTCTGTTAGAGCTGAAGTGATACATAGTTAGCATTTATTTCTTCAGAAAACTGAGACCAAGCAATGCCCAGGTTGTGAGCTTTTTTTTCTCTTTTCTCCTCTCTTAGAACAAAATTGAATTATAATCCTCCAAAGGATGATGGCTCAACGTACAAGATTGAACTTGAAGGGATATCTGTTGATATCATGAAAGAGATACTAGATTACATCTTCAGTGGGCAGGTATGGTATTAAAAAATAAAACCTGGACGGAAATGGAATTATTTGGCAAAGGAACCTGGGTTTTAGCAGTGCTATCCTGGAAGATAAACTTACCAAGCTTTAAGTTAAAACTTCCACGAAGGGGCGTACCATGCTGGGGCTGTGCACGTGAAGTAGAGGCAATAGGGTCTGCAGAAGTTGTCGCAGCTCTTCTCGTGCCATGGGGGAAGACTCTAAAAGAGTCATATCAAATGCTTACATTAAAATTCCTGGCTACCTTCGGTAACCTGCTTCAAACACTCAGTCCTTTACAGCTGTAAAAGGGAACTGAATTGATAGCAATAGAGATTGAGGCTCCATCGCTGAACATAACAGTGCATCAGGCATCCTCTCTTTCTCACCCTCACGCCCACCTCTCCAGCCCCTGGATGCTGACAGCACACCCCTTCAGATCTTTGTGCCGGTGGCCTTAGCAGGAATTAAAGTTGGTGTGTCCAGTTTATTTGGAACCAGTTGGAGTTTGCTGAATGACTTTTAACTTTCAGCAGAAAAAGAAAAGGCAGATGTGGCTTGAAATTCTCTTCTGGACATGTATTTTAAAAAAAAAATTATTAATTGCAGCGAAATTCATTTTAGGTTCTCGGATTAGATGAGCAATTTCATGGTTACTTCAGGCACAAAATTCTGCTTGACACCTTCTGTCAAGCAAATGCTTTTCCATCCATGCGTTAATTTATAAACGGGTAGTAGTCACATCAGTTTCTCATTGTTTTTACACTGGCATTAATACCCCATTTTTCAGCCACTGAGAATGAGTGTAATGAGTGCGGACATGTCATGAAACAAATGAGTGATAGTAGCTATAACTTCTAAATTAATTCTTGCAGATCAGGCTAAATGAAGAAACTATCCAAGATGTGGTACAGGCAGCTGATCTCCTGCTGCTTACAGACTTAAAAACTCTCTGCTGTGAGTTTTTAGAAGGTTGCATAGCTGCTGAGAACTGTATCGGTATTCGGGACTTTGCACTGCACTATTGTTTGCATCATGTTCACTACCTTGCCTCAGAGTATCTGGAAACTCACTTTCGAGATGTCAGCAGCACAGAGGAATTCTTGGAACTGACTCCTCAAAAACTGAAAGAAGTGCTGTCCATGGAAAAGCTCAATGTTGGAAACGAAAGATACGTCTTTGAAGCGGTGATTAGGTGGATTTCTCATGATTCAGAATCAAGAAAGGTCAGGCCGTCCAAATATTTATATTTTGAGTGGGACCCAAATTGGTGGGTGTGTGTTCTAATTGGTGGGAACTTAAAATAGATATATAGATTCCTTTCAGGGCTAAGCTTGCACTTACGCAATTAGTAGAATTTTGCCTGAAATGCAGACAGCGGGATTGCAGTAAAAGGCTGAAAGCTGTGTTGATGGTATATCATCTGCTGTCTTTATTATTTGATAGGCATTGAAGAAAAAAAAGTACCTTTTTGGCATGTGATATAATCTTGTTTTTGTAGAGGGAAAGCAAGTAGCACATTTGTAACGAAACTTTGAAGACTTGATGCATTTGCTTAATACCATTGTGTTGTAGGTTTTGTTATTACTTCCAAATATCAAAAATACTCTTTGACATTTTTGATAAATATAGAAGCATCTGTATGTACGAGTGCCTTAGCGCTGTTTTGTAAACTTGGGGGATTTTCTGGCATTTATCTCTTTCTATAGGTTCACATGAAGGATGTCATGTCAGCAGTGTGGGTTTCGGGCTTAGATTCTGCATATTTACGTGAGCAGATGATGAGCGAACCACTGGTACGGGAGATTGTCAAAGAATGCAACAATATTCCCCTCACGCCACCCCAGCAGGGAGAGGCGATGCTGGCCTCCTTCAAGCCCCGGGGTTACTCAGAGTGTATAGTGACTGTTGGTGGAGAAGAGCGAGTGTAAGTATGAAGTGGCATTGCAGGTCGTCACAGTTAGTAAAATACAAGCGCCTAGCATTCGCAGCATGTCTGAAAACACAGTGTGGAGAGAATATGTGCACCTAGTGTGCTTCTCCTCTATCATTTGAGTTGTTTTTAAGTTGGTCAGACGCGCCTAAAGTACCTTTGTGAATGATTCAACAATAAATAGTTATTTCGTGATAATTTTCTGACATTCAACATGTAGTAGACACATAGTGTTTGCTGTTTTTTCTTTAAACTGAATAGACTTTACTCAAAATAAGAACATAATGTTGGAGAAATGCTTTTCTAATAATCTGAAAAGCGTTTACAATAAATCTTAAAAATAACGAACGTGTGCTTTCACTGTTCTGTTGACAATAGCCATGGTTCCAAAACCAAGTCATCATTGGTGCATCTGAGATGCCGGGTGAAAATTCCTGTTCCACACAATAATGCCTTTCTTTTGAGTACCCCTTGCAGTAGAGGGGAGAGGTTTGTCCTGTTTAAATAGGTTTAGCATTTAGATGTTTGCTCTTTATAGAAGTGTAATAAAATACTCAAATAACACTTTGCACGTCAGTGCTTGGATTGCTTTACTCAGACATTACTAATACTCTCTATCAGTTCTTTTTAGTTTGTTCAAAGTTCCTTCATGACAAATGTTCCAGGCAGATACAGTATGAATAGAGTGTGTCTGCTTTTCATGTCTCCAGTCTGTACAAAAATAAATTTACATGTATTTGATTTGGGGGTCTTCTCCTCACCAGGGAAATGCCATGCTTTATGAATATACATTAAATCATGAACAAGCAAGCTTTGGGCACAAGTCGTTAACAGTGAACTCGTAAAACTCTGTCTTGTCTTTCTGTTTTTGTTTGTTCCCTCCCCACCCTGTGTTCAGATCACGGAAACCAACCTCAGTGATGCGGTGTATGTGTCCTCTTTATGATCCCAATAGACAGCTCTGGATTGAACTTGCTCCTATGAGTATTCCAAGGATCAATCATGGAGTATTGTCAGCAGGTAAAGGGGAACTTTGTATTTGTAAAGTTAATATTATGAAAACTTACCAGTGCCTCAAAATCTGAGATATGGTTTATAATAATATATTTTTTTTCCTTAAAGATTGACTGCACTGGGGTTATTTCATGCTTCCCCTTTGTCTGCCCAAAACATTACTTTATTCTGTGAAAATCCCTGTCATCTGAGTGTCTTAAAATCACTATTCCTGCAACATTTTGTGGGAATCTGCTGCATCTGTCTCTCCAGGAGTATTTCATGTTTTAAGTAAATTCCTAGCTGCTGCATCACTGAATATGTTGAAGAGTATCTGCAGGGGTAGACTTGAGTCCAGATATAAGTATGTGCTTTACCTTCTCCAGTCCAGAGTGTGACCTGTGACTGGTCTGAATCTCGTAGCGAATTCCAGGATACAGCTCGCCAGTCACGTTGTCTTTCTCGGGGTACAGGTGCGAGTCCTGTTTTTAAAATCATGTTACATTTTGTTTTACAGAAGGATTTTTATTTGTGCTGGGTGGTCAGGACGAAAACAAGGGAACGCTAAGTTCTGGAGAGAAATATGATCCAGATACCAATTCTTGGAGTTCCTTACCACCAATGAATGAGGCAAGATCACTTTCTAACTGTTGGGATTTGATTTTCTACTTTGGCAAAACGTTCCTTTTGTTCTGGAAAATTTTATTCTGAATCTCCAGTCACCTGCATCTCACACATTCAAAATCGTGCTACCGACTGTCTTTTTAAATCCTCCTGTTATCCTTGTGCTCTGGTAATGGCTTCTGAATCTGGAAAAACAAAACTGTTAGTGAAGAGCTAGCTGTAAAGCTGAACTACAAAATTTCAGCAATTCCACATGGAATCAGTCATGTAATATAATTAATATTCTCCATATACTGGCCTTATAAAAATATGCCTACGTTTCCTTTGTGTTGTACGCAAGGAAACTTATATGGACAAAGGGGTTGGGCTGTGCAGAGAAGATGGACAGAGGACTGGCCAACATACAGAATGTGACTTGCAGAGACATTTATATATTTGTTTGGTTTGAGTTAATGTTTCCTTCTTCATATTTGCATTCCATCAAAAAGTAACAGTTTATTATTTGTAAACACACATCCTTAATACACCTGTGTTTTTGTTGTCTTATATCAGCATAGGGTGTTTATTAAGAAATTGTTGTTTGCCGCAGGATTAAAGTCCCTGGTTGGCAAAGGCCTGTAGTTTTGGCCATGTTTGTAGTTACGATGCATTAAGTTTCCTGCTTACTGTGAGTAAGACTGAGGGTAGCTGTGCTCCTACGTACAAAATAGAACTGCGCTTTCACAGATAAAGAGTCCAAGTTTTGCTCCTGTAGAGACCTGAAAGCAACAGCTTTATCGTAGAGACCACTACTATGCAAACTGAAATACGGCCAAGCTCTCTCTCTTCACAGAAATAGATTGCTGTGTGGTCTCTTTGGCTTTTGTTGCTCTGTCTTTTTTTAATACCCTTTGTTTTGTTTAGTTGAATAAATAAAGAAGCTTATTCTGGAGTTTAGAACTTCACCATTTAAAAACTAAAACAAAACCCAGGCATAATACCAATATCACTTTGCAGACAGATATGCTGAAAAAAAGATTGTCTTGATTTATTCACAATGGCAGTTATGATTTACAATGTTGACTTTACTGATTTTCCTTAGGCACGACATAATTTTGGTGTGGTAGAGATTGATGGAATTCTGTATATTCTGGGAGGTGAGGATGGTGAAAGGGAGCTAATCTCTATGGAGAGCTATGATATTTATAGCCGGACCTGGACTAAGCAGCCAGACTTGACCATGGTTAGAAAGGTAAGAAATACATCGTATGTTATCGCATTGCTTACTGTTAAATAGTTAATGCCAACATAAAGTTATATATATTTCAACCTTTTGCTTCAAGTAGAAGCTATAACAAATACTGTCAGAATGAAATGAGGGAGACCATCTTCTTTATTTATACCAAAACAAAACTGTGGCTGAGAAATTTTATGCGTGGCATTGACATGTGGTACAGGCAACCCAAATATATACGTGCGTGTATGTGTATATAGTTTTGAGCTTTCGATACTGTGCATTTGTGTGTAATTTTAGATGTACTACTTCTTTTTTTCCACAAGATTGGCTGCTATGCAGCTATGAAGAAGAAAATCTATGCAATGGGCGGAGGCTCCTATGGAAAACTCTTTGAATCTGTTGAGTGTTACGACCCTCGGACTCAGCAGTGGACAGCAATCTGTCCTCTGAAAGAGAGAAGGTGAGTGAAAATGGAAGGGAGGAACTAGATTGCTGTATACAACCTTTTTTAATCCTCTGATGAGAGGAAGTTGTCCTTTCTCTGATGAATCTCTGAAGATGGCTGCCAGAGGCCCTATGAATTTCACCATGTCTTTCTGAATCATGGTGACCTATATATAGTTAACATGTGGCTGAGTAAAGATAAGCATCCAAGCAATAAATATGAGTTTTGTAGAAATACACTCCTGATGTTACAATTAATACTACCCTGATGCAAAATGAAAACCAGAAATTGTAGTTCAACTGGAACTTCAGTTTTTGACCAGAGATAAGTACTTTGCTGTTTTGTTCTTTTACATGGTCTGAACTAAGTGCTTATGAATCGTATTCACGACTCATCTAATCTTGTTGAACATAGAAGGGGGAGTGTGTTTATATAAATAAAAAAAATGAGAAAAAAAATTGAGAAAGTTCAGAAGGATATATGAAATTATTTTGATATGTTGCTTTTTTTTTTTTTTTTCCTTATTTGAATTCTCAGATTTGGGGCAGTGGCCTGTGGAGTTGCCTCTGAGCTTTATGTATTTGGCGGAGTCAGGAGTCGTGATGACAGTCAAGCCAGTGAGATGGTGACGTGCAAATCCGAATTTTATCATGATGAGTTTAAAAGGTAACTAGGTACAGCTATATACATCAAAAACACATACCTTACACACTCACCTGTCTGTTTCCCCCCTCCCTTGCTCCAGCACTTCAAAGCATATTAGATCTTTGCCACGCATCTCTGTTACTCAGTTTACCTTTTACAATCCAGTGTGGCTGTTACCAAAGGTCCATCTGCTTCGGTGGCTTGTCCCTCTAAGATACCAAGCCTGAAGCCCTGGGCCTGTGCCCTGACCAGGAGCGGCACCTTGACCATACCGGTGCTCTGCCTGGTTCTTCCCCTGCACCCTGCAGTTTCCCCAAGTGCCAGGTACTGCTGCCCCCTCACCCCGTACCCCTGCCCTAGGCTCCTCCTGAGTGCTCCTGGAGGAGTTGTGTGTACAGAGTTACTTCTCCATGAGCCAGGACTGTCTCCAGGGATTTGCAGCTTAGGGAATTCCTAAGCTAGAAATAAGAAATTCCATGCATTGTTGTTCCAAGCATTTATAGCTGGTTGCTTTTTGAATCCATGTAGGCTTTTGCCATGGAAAGATGCTATGGATGCTATGCATTCCACAGCCACCTCAGCATTCCATACACACACGGTACATGGCTAATCTCCTTTTATTTGTTTTGAATCTGCTTCTGATGACTTCATTTGTTATCTTTTGGCTCTGGTATTGGAATCCACCTTATTACACCTGGTAACTATTCAACTTGTTATGTTAGGCAGAATTTTGTGTATGGTCACCTTACTCTCCAGTCATAACTGACAAGCTTTGGTTCCTCCAGTGTTCTTTTTCTTGCGTATAACTGTAAACTGGATTATTCCCTTTTTTTATAAACTAAATTGGAAAAAAAAAAAAAAGACTTCATGGTCAGATGTTTCAAGGCTTGTTGACAGTGGAGGAGATTAATACGTCTGTATTACAAGTCAAGACTGATTTATGACTGTGACCTGTATAAAAGCACACAAAAATAGAGCAGTAGACCTAAGTTCATTATATAATTTTCTTGCAAGATGTAGATATAAAGAGACTTTAATTTCTGTATGAAGAGGTCTTCTGTGTTGTTCAAAGTGACATCTAAACTAGCTATAATCAAATGAAGCTGGAGAAAAAACATTCTTTAAAGTGGTTATAGGAAGCAGGTGGGTAGGAAGGGCTATTGCTGCTGCTGCTCTCTAGCATTTTCTGACCCTATGGGGATGTGGGGAAATGCTAAAAGCTGATTAACTTTTTGGCAAGGGGCCTTTGAAGGGGAAAGAATTCTGGAAAGAAGTTGTCCCTGATCTCCTGCTTGCTATTTTTAGTTGATTCGCCTGAAATATTTCCAGGCTGATTCTGTTCTTCAAAAGGTGCTATATAATAGCTGATGATGCCTCACCAGGAACTGTAAACCTGTTTCACTGGTGCATTCAGATTGAGCTTTCATAAAGTGGAGTTTGAAAAACCCTGGGGGTTCCAGCCTGGGTGCTCCAGGTGAGTCTTTGGTGCCACCTGCTGACTGCAGCACAGGCACCTGCCCGGCAGTATTTCCCACGCCTGTATTTGTGTCTTTGCTTGGTGGCATCCCAGAGGTGTTACAGGATTCAAGTGAAGTTATAATAAAAATCCAGTCGCTTCAGCTCTTGTTCTAGCACCCGGTGCGTTGGGTGAGTGGCGCAAGGGCTGTGCTGGCGCAGGGGAAGGTGAAGCAGCAGCAGTCACCTCAGTCTCCGGTTGCTAGAGGAGGCGTGTGTTGAGGGCTGCCGAGATCTTTACACCTTGCCTTTCTGCTCTGCTGCTGCACAGAATTTGAGCTTAGAAATTTAACTCAGCATAAACTTGCGCTTGCACTGCAGGCAGTGCACAGGTTGTGTTTTCCTCTGGAAACGGCGGGCCAGCGAAGGCTGGGACGATGGCCACTGCTGCTTCTGCGGCAAGTGCTGCTGGCTGGGGTTTGTGCTCTGTGGTTTTGGAAGGCGCCTGGTTCCAGCCCCGGGAGGCAGGAGGGATGTTGCTGGCCAGAAGAGGGTGCAATGTCACTGCATATGTCCTGGCACTCCAGCTCCTGGGGTCTAACAGTTACCCCAAATTTTGGTACCCTTGGAGCGCTGTGCGGGACAGACGCCTTTCAGGGTGGCTGTGGCAGTGACTGAGACCTCAACAGTTGTTCCTGTGGAGGGAACAGAGAAAATAGCCATAAAGGGACTTCTCTTCAAAATGTAGTTTAGCAAGTATTTCTGCCTGCCAAATACTGAGACAAAATACTTTGTCTGGTACTCTTCTTTGAAGTACGATTGAATCTGGGAAATTATCATAATTTCATTATAATAGCGTTTCACAAATATCAAATGAATACCAAATGAAGGCAAGTTGACTCTCTGGAAAACATGAGGGTATTATTTCCTGGGCTGATTCAGAAATAGCAGAAAACAAATCTAAATCAGTTTGAGTGAAGGATGAAAGCTTAAATAATATGCTTCTCTTAAGTCTGTGAAAACCTTATGCTAAATACTGATGTGTGTGTTTGATTAGTTAAGCAATTCCACTTGCACTGGGTATCATGTGCTCTCCTGTGCATCGTTGTTCAAGAGTAAAGCATAAGTGATGCTATAGATTTTACCATAGGTGGACAGTATCTCTCTCAGTTCCTTAGTGCATAGTTAATGTGATACAAAGACTGATTCTTCATCTTTAACATCATGCAGTTGCTACAAGGTGATTAATTTATATTTGAAAAGTGCATTTATTTCCTCAGCAATAGTTTCTGAAACAAATACAGGTGGTTAGTCCTGTCTAGTCCAAGAGCTTTAGAAAGTCATCGTGAAGGATATAGGCACCTTCAGACTCCACAGTGTGTATTCTTTTTGTAGTGACAGTGAAGGGATAATACTGGAACTGTCAAAGCTGAAATATCCCATTGATTGTGTGTGTGTATATTATTGACAGAAGCCCAAAAATGCTGGGTTGAGAGAGATTTGTGGAAAGGAGGAATATGTTTGCAAGGTCATTTAGCAGCAGTGGGTCAAAAGCCCAGTGTATAAACTCTAGCAGACTCAAACCAAAATCTGTAGTGTTTTTTAAATAGTTACATATTGGTATTGCATAGTTCATAATGAGGTACAGACTTTTCCAGCTGTAAAATTTTAAGTAAGTGCAGAACTCCATCGTGTTCGCTTTCCTTTTGAGTGGAAAGAATTTTTTGAACTGAGTTCAGCCATCAGATACTGTTGGTTTAGTGATGTGCAGCAATGCGCACGTGCGTCATCTGTGTCTTTTTTCATATGTGCCTCAGCTCTCATTGCCTGAGAATACAGGATCTAGATCATCCTCGGCATCCAGAGTCCGTGAGGATCCGAGTTACGGGTTTTACTTAGTGTATATGTCTAAGTATGTACTTACATCAGTGTATAAACATATTAATTCATATAAACCGACATAATTCTGGCTAGAATTGGACTAAAGGACTGAAGCTTAACTTGTTTAATATTGCTTACTTTGACAGTAACTTACTCCAGAATAACTTACAGTGCACAGTCTTTCAAAATTGTTATTCTTAACCATGACGCAGACTTTTCTAAGGACTAGGGATATGTTGAGATCTTCACACTAGCAAAAAAGTAAACATTGAGACTCCTGTTAAGCAATACTGTATAAACAAGTAATAAAATAAATGAAGTGAGACGGAGTACTAGCATACACATGAAATGTGGACAGGATAATGTAGAAAATAATTCTCATATTTGAAGTACTTCTATAACTGAGATTTTTCAATTAATAAGTGTTTTGTCAGTCTGTCTTCAGAGTCATGTGCATGAGTGAATTTAAGTGAACCAAGGACAGAAAATGCGTACATCAGACTGCAGGTTTTTTCAGGATGTAGAGTTTTTTCAAAAGCTATAGATTGAGCTTTGTGTGCATTGTATCCTGGTTTTCAGAAAATCGATCAAGCTAAAAATAAATTTAAAAAATGTGAAAGTGGGAGATGGAGATGTAAGGGTATCCTTCACTCAATGATCCAGTGTTGGTCTCCTCCATAAAAAGCAGGAAATGTTAACTACGTATTAAAGACCTTGATGGGTCAGTCTTTCCTTCTAGCAGAGTTCGTAATTCCTAATATGCCTTTCCGCATCATGTAGGCGTGTGGTGAATTGGATGATGTCTCTATACACTGGGTTTTTTTTCTTTTCAGTGTGGATATTTGGAAATATTTAATAGAGCACAAATTGGCTTTAGGATTCTCTTGCAAGAGCTGCTGATGGAGCTCTGTCCTTGAGTATGGCCGCTGCTGCCTTCCAGGGGTGGTCTGGAAGTGGGGCAGGCTTTCTTCCTTCTTGTCACCAGCTCCTGGTTCAAAAGCAGTACCAAAATGCGCAGGTATGGAGGGGGATAAAAGTGAGAGGTACTTGTTCAGAAACAATACTTGGTAAAAACGCCTTAAAAATACTCTCTTTGCTGCTGGAACATTGTAAAAATAAGGAAATGCTTTCAGCAGTATGTAAGTGGTAAACTAAATCTTGTAAGATAGTATGTGTAATTAGGAAGATTCTCCCATTTGGTGTGCAGGAATTTCATTAAAAGAGAGTGCTTATGCAAATGTAATGAGCAAACTAACCGGCTGACTGATAGCGCTGTCAGATGAGAGGAGCACGGAGAAGATGTACATTCATTTGTAGGCTTCCTTTCCCAGCTGGTGAGAGCTTGAGGTGATATGTCTGGAGCATGTTGGTTCTGTATCACATCTCTATTTACTTCCCACTTGGAAATAAAACAGTTACCATCCTGCTTATTAATTACAATGGTGTGGATGGATTTTTTTTTTTAAGACTGAAAAAAATCAGGATTCCTTCCCTTTTTTTGACTTGAGAGGAAGCATATTTCAGTTTCAGAGCAGTCATTTCTGTCTGTGGGTACAGAGGTACATGCTTCTCCCCTGCTACTCCCAGATTCGGTTTGAGTAGAGCCGTCCCAAGGAAGTACACGAGAGTTGTGTTCCAAGGAGTGTTTTCAAATTCCTGAAGATTGTGAATTTTTTTGTCGTGGTGTTTTTTCCATACTGTTCAAACAGCAGGCACAACCCACATTAAGCTGGAGCTTACTCAAATTCTGATGAAATGTGACCCCTTGCCCTTCCTGTCTTTGTTCCTTCCTAGTTTTAACTGCTAAAGCTGCTGTAAGCGTTCCTGAAAAGTTCTGCCTGTTTTTCAAAGTAGATGTGTTGAGAAAGGGCGAGAAGAAATTTTCACAAGCAACTACAGATACTTTAATATTGTCCTTTCCTGAGCACAGTAGGAAAATGCTTCAGCTTCACACTGTTGTGCTTTTTTTTATTTAAACTCCAAAACCTTGAGTATTTAGTGCAGACAAACGCCCGAAGTTCACATATTTTTCCAAGCCTAAACTTGATCAGTAGCTAGACTACACCTATCCAATTTTGTTGTTTTCCCTACTTTAATATGGTCCCGTATATACTGGTTTTTTTTAAAAAAAGATTGCAGTCTTCATCCCGCAGTTCTCTGCCACTTACTCGGTTTTCGTAATTCTAGGTAACCTGGTGCTAAAAAGCAGTGAAAATACTGACTGTGTCCTCTTCCCACAGTAAGGAAAGGAAGCTAATGAAATATGGTGAGAGGTGGCTTGCTCTGTAACAGAGTTCCTGTGTAAAGGACTTCTCCTTTTCTCAGTTCATCTGTCGTCCTCTGTGACAACTACAAACCATTCCCTTGCTTTCCACAGAATCTTAATCCTTCAGCTTATAGCACAGACAGCTCATGCTTTCATTTGGGCTTTAAAAATTGATCTCTCCAAGATAATTGATGTGTAGCAACCTCTCCTTCAGCGTAGGAGAGAAGCTTACTTCTGAATAGTGAGTTAAAATAATCTAGAATTTTCAAAGGTCAGCTGTATCCGTGAGGATATTTCCTAACTTTTTCCCTCAAATTAACCCGGTATGGCCATGAAAATATATGGGATGCTTTTGAAAGTTTTTCAAACTTAACTGTTCTCTATAAATTAGTTAATAAAAGATGTAGGAGCAGCCACCTAATGTAACATTGATTTGTATGTTTTCAGGGTCTATCAATAGTAACTGTGACAGCATCTGCAAAAGTGCAGCAGCATTTTGTAGAAATTTGTTTCAGAACCATAGAGAAGATGCTGACAGCTCTAGATAACTGGGACATCTTTACAAAAGCCAGTGTCCCACATGGGTGATAAGTACCTACTTACTGGGTTTCCAAAGGCTGCAACTTGGAAAACTGCTTTTCACTTGGTAGAAAGATCAGGCTGATGTAGCATTGAAATGAAAATATGCTTAAAGTCAACATAGGGGACTTGTGAGATTACAGTAGGAGGTAGAAGGGGATTGAAAAGAGCCTGATACATGATTAGGAAGGTTGTTTCAATTCCAGGTAATGGACATTTCTTTTTTTTTTTTTTTTTCCCAAAATCCCTTACCATTTTGATTTCTGGTCTTCTGTCCCATGTTTAAAGTTAAGCATTGCCAAGCGCTGCATTCTTTTTACTGAAGTGAGCATTTCTTGTCGCTGATAAAATGCAATTAAAGAAGTTCGGGAATTATATGGGGGAAGGCACTGCTTAATATTGATATAGCAATTTGTTATTTCCCCTACCATGGACTATTAAGACGTAAATGCTTTTATGACTCTTCTGATTTAAAGACAAAGCGGCCTAAAATTTTCTCTGTAGGTAAAATTGACTGGCATAGCTGTTGTAGAAGAGGCTGTCTTATATACCTGCGCTCTTCCAGAGGGTCACCCTGGGTGGGTGCAAGAAGAATTTATTCCAGATATATTACACAGATGAGTGGAGCAACTCTGAAATAAAGTAACTTCAGAGTAAAGTATCCTGACCTTCCAAACAGCAGTACCTATTGCTCTTCCTGGCTAGAAAGAGCCACGACTGTGCTGAACTGGACGATGTTCCCAGCTGTTTTTACATAACAAATTAACTTGTGCACTCTGCTTTTGATTCAAACACAGCAGCTGCAAAAAGAACTTGGAATTCTTTTAATGTACTCAATAAAAATTCCATACCATTTTTTTATTATTATTTTTACAGGTGGATTTATTTAAATGACCAGAACCTATGTATCCCAACTAGTTCTTCCTTCGTGTACGGAGCTGTGCCCATTGGAGCCAGCATATATGTGATTGGAGATCTCGATACAGGTCAGAATTAGAACTAATAACTCCCTGTCACTTGTCTTCTTCCAGTCTTTCACATACATGGCACTAATGAGACGGATTTTTTTTTTAATTTTTTTTTTTTTCAAATAAAAGGCTGGGACTCTGTTCTGTTAAGTTACTGTTGTCTTAGGGGAATTATACTGGACATACAGAAATGTACGAGTTGGTTTTGTACATCGGAGCTCTTCATAAACAAATTCAACACTATAATCATTTGGTTAATTAGCAGTTTTATGATCAGAAAAGATCAAGACTAAGAGTATGTTACTGCATTTGTCTAAATATAAGAAAAAACCATTAGTGCCTGAGGTTGTTTCTCCCATCTTTGCAGCAGTAAACAGGTGGTTCTGCGTTCTGGGGGTTCTGCATCATCCAGTGGTTCATATGGATGTGGCAGTGGCTCTTGGCTCTAAATCTCAACTGAATAAACGTGTCCTAACAAACATATTCAGTGCTCGGCTTTCAGCATCTTGCCACATACTGTAAAAAAACATCGGGAAGACTGCATGCTTTCGTGGCCATATGTACGGGCAGGAGTGTGTAACGGGGCTTTCTGCAAAATATGGAAGAGCAAAATTCCAGATGTGGTGGCTTTAAGTAGATAAGAAATGTCACAGTAGTTTCCTTTTGACAATAATTTCAACCATACATCCAGAAATTGATTTGTGTTTCTGCATGTGCTCTTGTTCACACATTTGCATTATTAGAGGTTAAATGTGGTGATAGCTATGGTATGTTTTAAGCATTTTATATTTTTTTTTTTTATGCATGTGTGAATTCAGGTACGAATTATGACTATGTTAGAGAATTTAAAAGAAGCACGGGCACCTGGCAGCGCACTAAACCACTATTTCCATCGGACCTTCGCCGTACTGGCTGTGCAGCCTTGCGAATCGCAAACTGCAAGCTCTTTCGACTGCAGCTTCAACAAGGATTATTCCGCATTCGCGTACCTTCTCCGTGATCCGTATGCTGACAGTGGAGGAGACTGGAAGAATTCTGCGCAGTCCACCATAATATAGCTCTATATAAAGGAAAAGCTGAGAAATTACAGCTGAAACTTACACTGTATGCTGTGCTTTGGTATGGTAACTGTTTTTGTTTTAAATGCTTAAAAAGCTTGAGTCTCAGTTCTTGTTTCGGGAACAAATAACTTAAGTATACATTAAAAAGAAGAGAGGGGGGAAAATAAAAGGGGGAAGCAAGGAAACACCTTCAGTTGTAAGCATTTGGAGTTTAAACCATGTTATTGAGGAGGTTTTGCGTGCCAGAAAAAAGTGGGAATTGGTCTTCCTTTGGCGAAGTTTACTGAAAAGCAAAAAAGATTTAAGATGCGTTCCCCTGGGGGGAACCGATAAGAATAAATGTGCTATCTTGGACTGGATAGCTCTAATACACAGAAGCTATATGATAACCAACCTCCCTGGTATACTGCAAAGACTGTGGTCGGACCGTAATGCCGTAGGAGATGTTGGTTGTTGCACCTTTTATTTCTAGTCCTTCCTCAAAAGTTAAGGTCTGTGCCAGAAAATGGTGGAGGTGTGTACATATGGTTTTTCATTCATTTGCAATGTTTTCATTCCTACAAATATTTTTAATATATTTAAAATGGACTAATCTGAAATGGATACAGTATACTTCAGAGAAGTAAACTGTTTTTTTCTACGCTGTCATTTGAATGGCCTGGTGAACAGCTGGGTGGCTTGCATTTCTGTGTGGGCTTTGGTGGCTGTTTCCTTGAAGTAAAAAGGGAGATGACGTTTGGAATGGTTCATGATGATTGCTGCTTTTGGTAAAAGACAACAAAACTTGACAAATTAAAGAAAATAGTTTGTGTTCCTTTTTACTTCAGATCGCTTGCAAATTAAGAATAGTTTTTAAGACTGAGGATTATAGAGAGGTGCGTTTTATCTTTGTTAGGACAAAGGTGAAATATGACAAGGATATATTTGTTTTGCAGAAAAACTGATTTTTGGACTAAGAGTTAAGGAAAATTTATACAGCGACTTTAAATTGGGATCAGAAGTTGGTTTACTAATGATTTCTGTGCTAAGATACAGTCTTGTTTACTGCTATCTGACTTTGAAAGCTGGGTTTTAAGGTGTGGTTATAGTGAAGAATTTAGTATCTTGCATTTTATTTCTTACTAAGTCTTGTTCACATCAGTAGCGGTATTTAATGGACTTTTGTTTGTAGTCAAGATCAGCTGGTAGAACACTTTTTACCTCAATTTTTTATTTCATTATTGTGATGGGTGGGATGTAACCTGTATTTATTTAAAAGGAATAAAATGAGAGAGATGGAAATAGAAATAAGACCTCCTGCCCTTCAGAAAAAGAGACTTTGTATAACCAGTATTATAATTACATACAATACTTTCCATTCTGCAACTTTGTGGACCTCAGACAAGCCGATCTCTACCCTCAGTTGTGTTAGTGTAAACCTTCGTCATCTTTATTGAATCATTTTAGATCTGCTGAAATAAAATCCAAAATTAGTACAAAATAGTTATATTTCACTAAATATTCCTTGAAGAGACATTCTGAAACTTACTTCTGCTCAGTCCTTCTGTAGTGCTGATGCATGGTTGGAATTACTCTGATTCTGAGCAAAGGGGTAGGGGGAAAAAAAAAAAGAGGGCAGCAGCCAATCCATTGTCCGTTATTTATCTTTTTTTTATTTTTTACAATGCTGAAGTGCTGCAAAACTTGAATTCTATACATCAATTTTCTGACCTATATTAGTTGGCATATTAAAAAGTCTATATATTTATGCATTGCAGTAAACTTGGTGTGTGTGTATATATATGTCTTTAGATTTTAAATTTATATATAATGCTTTACCACAGAAATGTGAACCACTATTTCCATCCTCGGCTGTCTTGTGAAATAAGTCAAGTGCTGTTTATCTGTAAAACTGCCCTTTTTTGAAATTCTTACATTGATCAATTTTTTTCTTAGACAAAGTGCCAAGATCCCATATTCAAAAGTGATGAATGTTCCTAAGTATCTATTTCACTTTTGAGCTCAGTTTTCTAAGTGGCTTAGAAAACTTCTGAAAATCTTACTCAGAATATTGCAGGCTGCTATCTCTTCGGTCTCTGTAGCTTCCCAGTACACTTGAGGGCATTCAGCATCCAGAAAACTTAAGTAATAATGCATATAATAAATCCAGATCATATAGACTCTAGCAGTGTTTTGCAGTTCAAGTTATTAAACTGAATGTTTACACTTAAAGTAGGATTAACAGTAGGTATTCTTACTTTTTTTTTTTTTTAAACATAAATCAAACAAATCTGCTGGTAATTGGAGTATGTTGCAAATGCACTTGGTGAGATTTGACCAAGAAGTTTAAGCCTCTTCACCTGAAACAGCTGCAAACAATTCCTTAGCTCACGTGTACTCCAGTCGCTTTGTGGGCAGTTGGCGGCCAGGGACCAAGTCTCCTGGAGTGTCGGGTGCATGCATAAGCCAGAGGTTTAAGCACTCCTGAGATCTCAAAACTGGCTTCCTTGGCCTTGCTTCAGGGGGCTGGGATCATTCCCCACCCGCATTGTCTGCAGGGCCGATCCCGGAGATGTTCTAGCGTCTGTGTGTGCGCGGGAGGGAAGGGATGCATCTTTTGGAGTCTGACTTGTGTCTGTCTGTCCAGTTCTGATCTGCAAGCCCTGTGACGAGTGCATCTCTTGGGATTTGCGGTAACCAGGTTGGACTGCCTCCCCGTTTGGAGCAAGGCTTTGAAGCCAAGGCGCTGCTTTCTCCGGGGGGAGCCTGGTTGTACAGGTGAGGGTGTATGAGAGAGGGATAGCTGACCTCTGGCTTGCCTTGGGAAAGAGATGGTTGACTTCAGTAGAGGAGGGAGGCTGTGGTTCCGGGGGTGCTGAGTGGAGGGAGGGCACCGCTTTCGTGAGCATCCTGGATGTGCAAACAGCTGTGGATTGAACTGGGTTCACTGGTCCATGTCCCCGCCTCCCTGGCAGCTGTGTACACCAGCGTGTGGTGGCTGAACCACATGGGAAGCAACTCGTGAATTTTCTCAGTTTGCAATCCAGGGGTTTTAGGTGGTTTGGCAGTTTAGAAACTTAAGTTGTCCTTGCTTGGCACTTAATTCCTTCCAGCTCGTGAATTGGCACTCAAATTCAGCCAGTTTCCCCGCAGGTGACTCTTTGAATGATTTTCTTAGCCAGCTGTCTGTGCAGCCTATGAGCTTCCCAGCATCAGGTTTTTAGGCACCTTCCTTACTGATTTACTAAACTAGGTGCCTCGCTGGGGTTGTGAGTTTGTCACAGCATTGAAATGCCCATGTTTTGAGACCAATGTCTGTATCCCTGAAGGGTGCCCACCCCACCTCGGCTGGGGGCCAGGTCCCTGGGTGCAGCTCTCAGGCAGTTGCATCTTGAGTCAAGCTCAGCACGATCCCAAGCGAGGACTAGCTGGGTCACGTTGCAGCTGGAGTGACTTGGGTTGGGCCTCGGCATCCTTTCCTTCCCCCTGCTGCAGAATTGGACAAACCCCAGCCATTGTAATCAGAAAATCACCAAATAGGAGGCGGGGTTGTGGAAGATGGGAATAGCGGTGGCTTTTTTCTCCCCTTGCTCCACCTCTTACTATAATTCCTCCCCCAAAAGTTTCCTCTTCCTTTTTCCATGTGCCACAGGATATTTTTGGAAGAGCTCTGGGATTGCTAATTTAAGGGTAAAATAAAAAATCTGAGTGTACAAGTGGGGAAAAAAGAGATAATGCCATAAGCACACACATCAGCATGGTCTTGGGGCTGCTCTGCACAGCAGAAAGTGAGCACAGAAGCAAAGGTGTAAAGTGCTGTGGCTCTCATAAAATAAATCTCTAGGGTTTCTTAGGGAGGCACACGCCTGGCCTCCGTTCCTTACCTGGCCTCGTGAGATGCTCGTGTTCCTAAAGAGTCAGTGTTGGACTTGCAATTCTCATCCTTTCTGTTTTTATAACCTGAAAAAGATATGTCCTGAAGAGTCTTCTGTTTTGTTATACCACAGCAAGGTCTGCCTGTCCTCAAATATTTTATCAGCTATTCTGTAAGTTTTAGTTATTGTGAAATGCTGTATCAACTCAGCTGTTCCTTGTCAAGTCACTTTCTGTAGCTTTTGAGGGTACCTCCTCTTTAAATTGAAGGCAAATTAATGCGAGATTACACAAAAGGATAGTGGTGAATCTGAAAATAGAAAGCGAATTTACAAAATCAGCTCACTAATATCTGTGGGCAGGCTGTATCCCTCTAGCTTTTGACTGCACAAAACTCACACGTCACACAGCCTGTCTTCTGAAGCAGAGTTCTTGCTGAAAACAGGAGTTTTTCATCAAAACTACTGAAGCACCTGTCTTGCTTTATAAACTCCCCTTCCAGAAATCACCAGGCAGCTTAATTTCTCTTTTGCAATATTTCGTGTGCCTGCATGAGTTAGTAAATACACAAGTACAAAAGTGAGGGGGTTAGGGAGTGGTTTTTTCCCTGTTTTAACTGCAGTTTCTCCGGTTGGTTCCGTAAATACTGCGGCCATGCAGCCTGCATGGGTTTTGGTAACACGCATGTGCCATGCAAACTGCAGGATGCAATAACAAATGCAAGTGGTTACAAGTGCCAAACTTTTGGTTTCCTCTGTATATAACAATAATTCAACTGTTCTGTTAGAATATAGAGATGCTTAAAATTCACTGTGTTCCAAAAAAGAGCAGTTGTTCTTTTTTTTTTTTGTTTTGAATGAATGCTATTTAAAACACTGTAAATCTTTGCCTTTTTTTTTTTTTAATACTGTTCTGCAGGTTTATGTTACTCTTCACAGCTGCCTTGAGACATCACTCTGTGATGCGTATGGACACTTTGCTCTTTATTGGAGCACTAGTGCCATGCAAGTATATAACAAATGGCAGCTGACAACAGGTTTTAGTATTTAAAATTAGAGATAATCGCACTTAGATAAAGTGCAATTCG